TCCCAGATCCTTTTTGAAAAATTTTTTGGCAAAATGTGCCTGGAAAAATGATGATTTTGGATATTTCTTCTTCCCATCCCAACCTCAAAGCGCTGAAATAATTCCAATGGGATGTTTTCTTGGGGATCCACCTCCAAGCAGTTGATGTTGATGGATCCAGCGGGAATTTCTCAGCCCTAATTAACACCAAAATAAAATCCAGGATTTATTCCCCGATGATTTTCCACCCGTTGGTCTCCCATCCGGAACATTTTTGGGGAAAACCGGTTTTCATTTCTTTTTCTCCCCCCCCAAAAAAATAATATTTTTTGGGCGAAGATACATTGCAGGTTTTGGGAAGCGAATGGGATGAACGGATTTTATTGCTCAAAAATAAGGATTTTTTGGGGGTTTGGTCCTGAAATTTCCCCCAATTTTCACTGACGTCTCCTCCTCTTCCTCGCCAGGGCTGAGCACCGAAGGCATCTACCGCGTGAGCGGGAACAAGTCGGAGATGGAGAGCCTGCAGCGGCAGTTTGACCAGGGTAACTACGCCGTGGCCGGAATTCTGCCTTTTCCACCCCAAAAATATGGCCGTGTCCCCTCCACTGTCAGCTGCATCCCCTCCACCGCCCCTCACGTCACCCACATCCCCTCCATCACCCATGTCCCCAACACTGCCACCCATGTCCCCTTCACCACCCACATCCCCTCCACTGCCACCCACGTCCCTTCCAATGCCACTCATGTCACCCATGTCCCCTCTGCTGCCACCCATGTCCCCTCTGTCATCATCCACATCACCCACGTCCTCTGCACCGCCACCCATGTCCCCTCCGTCACCACCCGTGTCCCCTTCACCACCACCCGTGTCACCCACGTCCCCTCCATTACCACCCATGTCCCCTCTGCTGCCACCCATGTCCTCTCCACCGCCACCCACATCCCCTCCATCACACCTGTGTCCCCTCCACCACCACCCATGTCACCCATGTCCCCTCTACTGCCACCCATGTCCCCTCTGTCACCATCCACATCACCCTCGTCCCCTCCACTGCCACCCATGTCCCCTCCATGACCACCCATGTCCACTCCATGTCCCCTCCATCACCCATGTCCCTCCACCACCATTCGTGTCCCCTCCACCACCACTCATGTCCCCTCTGCCACCACCCACATCACCCACATCTCCTCTGCCACCACCCATGTCCCCTCCATCACCACCCACGTCACCCATGTCCCCTCCAGTGCCACCCACGACCTCTCCATCACCACCCACGTCCCCTCCACGACCACCCATGTCCGCTCCATGTCCCCTCCATCACCCATGTCCCTCCACCACCATTCGTGTCCCCTCCACCACCACCCACGTCCCCTCCATCACCACCTCGGCACTTTGGGGTGCCACCAGGAGGGTGTAACCCCGCCTCTCCCCCCTTTGCAGACCACGGGCTGGACCTGGCCGAGAAGGATTTCACCGTCAACACGGTGGCCGGCGCCATGAAGAGTTTCTTCTCCGAGCTGCCCGAGCCCCTCGTCCCCTACGCCATGCAGGTGGAGCTGGTGGAAGCCCACAGTGAGTCCTCCCGGGGGGGTCCCAACCTTCTTCCCCACCCTGGAGTCTTAATTAATCCCCCCCGGCTCATTTGCCGACACATCTCATTAATTCATCCCATAAAAACCCCATTTTGGGGCACGTTCCTTATTAATTCCCATCCTCTGAGGCCGCTTTTGGCCGCTTGGCGCCATCCTTTGCCCAAATTTTTGCCAGATTTAATTTTTGGGGAAACCAATGAATCCTCAAGCTGGTGACCCAAAAATTCCCCCCAAAAAAATTCCCCATCTCGACAACGTGGCTCTGACCGGTTGTAATCCCCGGTGAGCGTTTCTCTCCCCGCCGACTCCCGTTTTCCGTCCCGGCAGAAATCAACGACCGGGAGCAGAAGCTCCACGCGCTGAAGGAAGTCCTGCGGAAATTTCCCAAGGAGAACTACGAGGTCTTCAAATACGTCATCGGACACTTGAACAAGTACGTAACGGCGTTCCCGGGAAAATTCTGAAAATCCAGGTCCCCCTGCCGGCGTTTTGGCAAATTTAGATCCCTGCCAGCACCTCGGAAATTTGCGGTATTTTTCGCCACTTTCGCAAATCACTGAATTTTCTGCCACCTCACCAAATCGCAGTTTTTTTGGCCACCTTGGCCAACCATGATCCTTTTCGCCACCTTGCCAAATCACGATATTTTCCACCACCTTGGAAAATCATATTTTTTTCTGCCACCTCACCAAATCACCGTATTTTTGACCACCTTGGCCAGCTGCGACCTTTTCCACCATTTTGCCAAATCACGATATTTTCCACCACTCTGGAAAATCATATTTTTTTCTGCCACCTCGCCAAATCGCAGTATTTTTGACCACCTTGGCCAACCGCGACCCTTTCCACCACCTTGCCAAACCGCGGTATTTTTGACCAGATTGAGAAATCAGCATATTTTTGACCACCTTGGCCAACCGCGACCTTTTCCACTATTTTGCCAAATCACGATATTTTCCACCACTTTGGGAAATCGCGGAATTTTCCGCCACCTCACCAAATCGCGGTATTTTTGACCACCTTGGCCAACCACAATCCTTTCCACCACCTCGCCAAATCGCCATATTTTCCACCACTTTGGAAAAGCGTGGAATTTTCTGCCACCTCACCAAATCACGGTATTTTTGGCCACCTTGGCCAACCGCGATCCTTTCCGCCACCTTGCCAAATCGCGATATTTTCCACCACTTTGGAAAATCACAGAATTTTCTGCCACCTTGCCAAATTGCTGTATTTTTGGCCACCTTGGCCAACCACAACACTTTCTGCTATTTTGCCAAATCACAATATTTTCCACCACCTTGGAAAATCATATTTTTTTCTGCCACCTCACCAAATTGTGGTATTTTTGACCACCTTGGCCAACCGCGACCGTTTCCACCACCTCACCAAATCACGATATTTTCCGCCACCTTGCCAAATCGTGATATTTTTGACCACCTTGGCCAACCACAACCCTTTCCACCACCTCACCAAATTGCGACATTTTCCACCACTTCGGAAAACCGCGATATTTTCCACAACCTCACCCCACCGCCCTCCTTTCCACCATCTCACCGTCTTCTCCACCTCCCCACCGCAGGGTCAGCCGTCAGCCACAACCACCGCGTCAACCTGATGACCAGCGAGAACCTCTCCATCTGCTTCTGGCCAACCCTCATGCGCCCCGATTTCACCACCATGGACGCCCTCACCGCCACCCGCACCTACCAGACAATCATCGAACTCTTCATCCAGCAGTGCCCCTTTTTTTTCTACAACCGC